ACCAATTAATGTTTCAGAACTTCTGCAAAAAAAAATTCAATCTGTATTTGTTTCCCAGGTAAAAAAATGACACACACACACGCTTCTAGGATTACATCTTGTACAGAAGTGGAGTGAGCATGGAGGAGGAGTGTTAAAGTAATGAAGGCATGGATGGGGGAAGAGAAAGGTCCTCAACTTCCAACCTCTGATGGTTCAAAAAAGGTTAATGAATTAGCCATCTCGTGACACCAGGGGACCCTTTGGCAAGTCAGCAGGGGCTGCAATTCAATAAAGTCTACCCTTCCTTCCTCCCAGACACTCTGAATGACATATAGAGCTTTTATGAGAAGACAACATATCAATAGAAATCACTGTTCAAATTTAGCTCATGTTGATGCATTACTTTTAGGTTTTTCCTCTTATACTCCAATGAAAATAACATATTGACCATTTGCTCTGTTGACATACATTGATATCCTAACCTGGAGAGTGGTTTCTAACCAATCTGATCTAACATTACTGGGTAATGTAATTAAAAGACTGAAGTGAGATCAATTTATTGAATCACAGGAAGCAACCAACCATGCAAGGCTTCTACTCACTCCAAGTCCTCTTTTAAAGTGCTGAGTAGTACTGTAAACTGAAAACCTGCTAAGTCCATTAGCTTATGACCTGAATGGGTCTGTCTTCATCCATATGGCTGTGGAAATCTGAAACCGGTAAGCGATGAAACAACCACAGGAAAGAGACCACCACAAACCCATATATCAAAGCCAATTTTCCTCCTTGTTACCCCAATGAGAACTGGTTCCTTTTGATTTTGAAGTAGAAACTGTGTGATTGAGTAGGTACAGTGTGATCCATAGGCAAGTATTAGCACATTTTCAGCTGTTTGTCTTTTTAATTTGTAGTGAAACCAACTTTCAGCTTTAAGGGTTTATAAGACATCCATCAACAACATAGAACGTGTAGCCCTTGTTATACACTTCCCTCCAACTTTTGAACAGTACAGGAGAAAAAAGAGAGGGACTAAATGTTCACAGCTGACAGTCCTCAAGTCTGAAAGTTATTACTTCATTTCAAATCCAATGAGTTGAAACAGAGCAAAAACAACAAAAGATGTATCCCTGTCCAAATACTAACTCAAGTAATAATAATATAATAACAGACCAAGACCACAGTTTGTAGTTTTGCCTACTTCTGACTGTTACTAATCTGATTCAGACACTTTTCGTTGTTCTTATTTACAATTATTGCAGCTAAAAATAAATGTGTCATCACTGAAGTGTACTCTGTAACTCAGAGTAGGAGATTAAAGATAAGTGCACGAAAGAACTAAGACAATTCAAGGAGCAAACAATCAAAAGGGTTTAAACCAAATAAAAAGTGTGGTCTACTCATGATTTATCATGTCACCCAACCCCAAACCTTTTGGGATGAAGTACTGACAGCCAAGCTTGTGGCATTTGTCTAAAATCTGCACAATAATTGTCCACTTAAATATACAGGTCTATCTCATCACCAGCTCACTGAGTGACTCTCAATGGCTGGTTAAGTCCCTCAAAGGCCATCATGGGAGTGGACAGACACACAGCAGGGAACTATGGGGGATTTTAACATGTAGGTGGTCTCTGTGAGGCAGAGGCTGCAGACACAAGTGGCTGAACAATAGTATGAGCAGAAGGTCAACAGAGCGATGCAGGGACAGAGAAGATTAACGAAACACAGTAGAGGAACAGGACTTTAATTGTTGGCTTAGATTGTCCTCCTAAGGCTAAAACAACGTACACAACAACAGTGTGTGTGTTAAATGCCTGCAAAACAAATAATGTATTTCTTGCCCTGCATTTTCAGCATTATTTAATAAACCTCCTTAAATAACCACACATTTATCATTGTATCTGCTTATGTCCATGTATTGAACAAGGCTGACTCAACTTTAAGAAAAACCACTGATTCAATTCAGTACATTTTCAATGTGTTCTGAAATCTGCTGGTGGGAAGTAAGACTTCTTTTTTTTTTAAAAAAGGACTAAAAATGTAACAGAGTAAACAGGAAATTGTGCAGATGGACTAGGTTTTTTACAGAGTTTACTATATAGTATATATTCTTTCAGTCAGAACACAGGTCATGTCACCCAGATTTCTCCAGTTAATGTCTTTAACCCTTCCTGTCATCTCATCATCCACCGACTCTGCTGGTCACTACTTAACTACAGCAGCCACTGACCCAACCACTGACTCAGACAGATAATTCTGCTAGCCACTGAGGCGGCCTAGTGCAGCTTTTGTAGGCTTACAACGTCAAAGTCTACACAATAGGCTGATTGTTTAAATAAGATGACCAGGGAGTGATTAACAGGATGTTTAGAATCAAAGCAAACCAGATCTAACAAAGCAATTAACCAATCAGCGACACTCTTCACTTAACTTCTGGTGTAAAATTTATGGATTCTGACATAGAATTTAAATACATAAAAACCACAACCTTCAGAAGTGTTTAGTCATATTCAAGCACAATGAAGCTACAGAGAAAATCATTAGATCCAGCTAGGTAGGTATTGTAACTCCCAGTTTCTTCACTTCACACTTTGTTATTGGAATAATACCAAAATATGTGATAAGTAAGCAAATTTGCAAAGCCACAGTCCCTGGATTTGGGTCACAGTAATAAATCTGACTTGTGGGAAATCTTTGTCTCCGTCAGCACAACTGCTTGGCCATGATAGCATTCCTAAACTCAATGTACTGTCGCAACAGCATGCTGGGTCACGCTCAATTCCTGGTTGTGATAAACACAGTTGAGACACCATTGCAGCAATGTAGTGAATCATTTTCTCTCTGAATTGTTTAAATTTGCTAAGCTCAGAGGTTTTCACAACACCATGTAACACCGTTACAATAATACTATAAGTGATACTGTACGACAGCAGACTTAAAGGCTGTGGCACAGAGGCAGAGCGGGTCGTCCCCTAATCGGTAAGCGTTGTTTGGTCAATCCCCGGCTCCTGGCTGCACATGATGAAGTATCTTGAGCAGATTATCTGAATCCCAATATTGTCCCGTGCCGACTCGCCGTGCTGTGACACTGTGCAGGAATGACTAGTTTCTGTGTCAATGGGTCTTGAATGTGGGACGTCAGTGTAAAAGCCCGCTGTTGACGGGTGGTCGGAAGAGCTAAAGCCGCTGATAGCAAGTATGCAGTCCGATTTACCATTTAAAAGAAAGAAAAAGTAAGCATTTCAAGTTAAGACAAAGAACTGCACAATTGTACCAGCAACCTGACATTTGGTTTTATCTGCCATATTTGACAGTTTAGGATCTGAGGTCATGTTCAGACCTAGTATACTGTATCAAAATGTATTCAGATTTAGTCATAGAGTGTTTAGATCCAGTTGAAAATGAGAAATCATTTGCGCAGCTAAGTAGAAAACAAATACAAATTTGCTCTCATCCATACAGATGGATTATAGATTAGGATTACATCCACTATTTGGCATCTAGCCTCTGATATGGGCTGCAAACCCTTGTCCAAGTTGTTTGACACAGGCAAATCAACCATGTAGCGCGCAATATGTGCATACTGCAAACCTGACTGAGTGGTCAAAAGATGATCCAGGATGCGTGTGTACAAATGTAGCATGAGCACTAGGGATATCACGAGAACAGATACTTCGGTACCAAGTCGATACCAAAATGAAACACAGCCGAGGGTGGGGCTGAGCTCCTGGACAGAAGCGAGACGGAGAGCGGTGGAGTGGAGAGCCAATCACCTGTATTATTAAAGGAAAACACAAGTACTGGGTCGGGACTCTGTATCAGCAGATACTCAATATTCAATGGGGATCAGGTGCAAAAAAAAAAAAAAAAAAAAACTTGATTGGGACATTTTTACCATGGTACTGAGAATCGTGGAATTTTACTAGTATTGGTTTCGACTACTAAATTTCAGATATCATGACATCCCTAATGAGCACAATATTTTCCTGACTAATCATATAGAAATACATTCTTCCCAACAGCAATCTTTCCACTTGTGATCAGATCACCAAATCCACATTGAGGTTCTGTATGCGAGAAGTGAGAGGCTCATTTTCTGATATCCTGTCAGCTTATCAAAGAGCCCACCTTTCATCTTTATTTCAACTACTACTCTACCACACTTCCTCCTCTACTTTCTCTTTAGCCTTAGATTCATAAGAAGTCATTTCCTTTTGGTCAAAGTAATGATTAACTGTGGTGAGAATGTAAACTGACACATTTTAGGGCCTGATGAGTAGATACTGCGCTAAGCAGTAAACACAGACTGAACATGAGATAAGACTTCACTGCATGTGACTAAGAGGGTTTCAATCACCCTCACATCTAAAGCTTCCTAGTCTGAGTTACAGGCATTAAGGTAAAGCTGTGAGCTGCTTTTTTCCTGTAGGATTGGTGTCTTTCTGGGATACATGAGATAAACTGTGGCTGATATAACAGATCATCATCCAAGAGGGAAAAGGAGAGAAAATTAAATGGACTGATCCATCAGCGTAAGAGTGGGAGAGGCAGATCAGTGGCTTCGTGTGTTTCACATTCCTGTATACTTATTGGACCCTCTCTGACATCTGGATGGGAGTCATAATACCACATCACAAGCAATCACACATACACACATCTGCAAACAGATCTCTGTTTATACTGCCAAGTCTTCATGTGGCATTCGCTTCTGTGGACACATTCAGTTCTGTGTGTATGTAAGTGAAAGCCGTGTTGTCATATTGCATTTTTTCCCTGTAACCTAAGACGTAAAAAAAAAAATAACTGTTTGAATGCAGACCACCCTTCAGGCACAAGAGAACAGAGCGTGCAGCTTTACTTAGAGGTTAGACCCATATCTGTAGATCCACTTCCACGTTAAAAAAAAAGCCCTCAAACTTCACCTCAACAGTCACTGTTGCACATTAACTTTTGATCAAGCAGAAACAGGAACAAGCAATATCTGACTTTGCAGCTTGTTCAACAGAAAGAACTCTTACCTGATAGTAGGCTTTAATCTGCCTGATAAGAATAGAAAGATTCTGGATGCGCAGCGTGGGGTCATTGTTCACTTTCTTGTTGGTCCTCTGCACAGTGGCCTTGGGATTTCTGTGGGGGGAAAAAAATGACATACTGTTATTCAATTGCTGTTGAATGTTGTTCAAGTTTCTGTTTGACACCACGTTGCTCTATGTGATGGAGCGGGTGCGCGTTTGTCGAGAAACATTAGCACCACAGTGACAATGGATCCTTGTTCAAATAGGGTCAGTGCCATAACCATGTTAAAAGAAACCACAGCCACAATGAAAGACAGAGCCAAACAGAAATGCCATTTGTATTCCCAGACCAGTGTTTCAGACTGTGTTCTCTCCAGGCTTTAAATTAAATTCTTCAGTGGGTTAAATCCAATTCAAGCATCATTGTGAAGCATTCAAATTTTCAGGCTATATTGTCACAGACTACAAACTCCTGAGAAGGATTTCATTAGCATAGTAAAGCTTCATCCAAGGTCAAATAGAACGTGGTGTATTTCAGTAATTGACTAACTTCTGACCACAACCTCCTTTTATTTTATCTGTCTGAATCAAATAGAAAAAGTATCATCTTTGTTCTTGCAGAAAAGAGAGCCTTTGTGTTTATCTGACTGTGTTGCCCAAGGGACATTAAAAGGAGCATGCACGACGACTGACGTTATCACGGGTGTCAACATGTTTTAGTGAGCCTCAGACATTCCACAAATTCACACAGTACCACCTCCATAGCCGCTGTTATCTAGGACAGTCCAAACTAACATTTGCATATCTGTAGAAATTACCTTTAAAATACCAAACCTAATTTCATCACAAACCTCTTTTTAAACCACATTTACAGACAAGCTCATTGGTGTGATTAACTAATGAAAAACAAATGAGTTTCCTGACTTTATGTCTGTCTGTCTGTCTTTTTGGAATGCTTGACATGTCAACAATCTGACAGGCACATGATCAGTACTAATCAGCATCCTATGCATTTATTGGCCAATTACTTTCCTATGTTTTAACTATAAAGTTTGTCAGAGCTTCTTAACAGCTACCTTTGACACCATGTGTGGTATTAAAAAGCTTGTTGAAATGGCCATAATGTGATATCTATTGATCCCCTGAGGGAAATTCCTCTTTTCTAGAATTCCCACATACAAGAGGTGGTGACAAAGCCGGAACCCTAGAGCTGATACAGTTTCACCAAGTCGCAAAGGGACACTTTGAAAGAGTGGATACTTTGCTGGCTTCAAATATCTGTGCGAGGCAGTGGGCAGGGGCTTTCACACATAGGACTCCCATGATACCAGCAAAACAACAGGAAAAGCAGTGATTTCAAATGACACTAAGAAAGAGGAGCGTTCTCATTTCTTACCCAACTATTGCAGTTGAATTACCGTTTAATCTCCCAAGGTTTATTGCTAAACATTGGCTGCACAGGGGAAGGCTTACAGTACTATACTTCAGTAACCACACTAGTAGTTATCTACCCTCCCAGCCGATCCCCTAATAAATATTCACATCAATTTCATCACGTATGTAGATATGATTCTACCAGCTGCAAAAGTTGAAAAATTAGACTCCTCAGTTGAGAAATAAGAATTTACAGTATCTTAAATCCTGTTGGCATGATCGTAAGTAAACAGTATGAGCATCATTACATCCTAAAATAAAATGTTGAATGCAAAGGCAAATGAAATGGAAACAAACATTGCGTCTATCTATTTTAATATATTTTACAGAATTGAAACAGTATGTTCATTTCACTGTACAGCCAGTGGTGGTAATTTGTTCTGGCTCATTGGGGGAGCATGTTTTGACAATCAATGTCATCCTTCGTCTACCATGCATCAAGCCCAACAGGGAAAAGTAGTAAAATCACACCCACCCTGCCTGAACTAACTCTGTAAAACCATCCCTGTAATTAATTCATGATACATTTGCTTTGGGATTGTCTGGGAAAACAACACTTCTCATATACTTGAGATTTTTAGAGCCTTACGTCAACAATGTTCAAGAGCAGCTCTCTTTTTCGCGATATGCTCTTCAGACTTCAAAGCATGAACATTGCATGACCTATATATGAGGGTCAACACGCCGAGAAGGGGGGAGGAAAGTCCTGGCTGCTTGCGAATGCATGCATGCATGTAGTGTGTAGCACATGTGTAGTCATGCATGTGTCTGCATCTGTGCTCTTGCACTCCAGAATAGCACAGTGACTGTGCTGTAACTGTATGTGCGATCAGCTCAATAAAGCTTTATCTTGAAGTACCACAAAGACAAGATTTTTTTTTTTTTAAATGCATATCAGTCCAGTCTGTTTGAGAGAGGAGGTCAAAGGTGAAGGATCCTCCTCAAGGACATTCAGCCTGGTGGATGCTTACAGTCACAGGGGACTTCTGGTTGAATGGAATCTTCTTAATCACTAGACCATGCTGCTGCCTCATTTATTTCACATAAAGCCAAACCAAATGAACCTGCTTTATACCAAGAAATATAAATATCCTAACTATGAATTAACTCAAATTCACATCCTGATAACAAAAATATAGAGGAATATTTTGAAGTATGTAATAATTGCTTTAGTATCCTAACTCTAAAATAATATTTTAATAAAGCACAATTCTTTTGTTACACCTAGAAAAAAAAGCAGTATGCCTGCCTCATAAATCACTCGACTGCAGTGGGGATGTGTTAATTAGTCTTCTGATCAGCCTCCACCTGACATACAGACCCACACACAATCATGCTAATCAGAAGGACACAGGGATCGTTTTAATACTGGTCTAAACGTCATGTGACCTCCCCATCTCCCCCCACCACACACACACCCAGCCCCTTTTGAGGTCCATAGTAGGGGGTCTATTTAACCCATTAATTAAAAAGCACAGAGGAGGCTGTAATCCTGTCAGGACGAGGAGGGTGATATAGTGAATGAGGGGTGTGTGAGAGACTGAAAGAGACTGAAAGAGAGAAAAACAGCAAGAAAGGGTTTCCCATTCACGCATTCCATCACCATCAGAGTCAGCCAAGAACATGGCGGCCACAACAACACAACCATGACAGCAACACACAATTCACCCCTCGTTTTGTTGGCTCCGGCTCTCATGCCACACATACAAGCACGCGACGGGCCGACCCCCCCTTAGATCAGCGAATAAACACAGCGACTTAGAGCAGCAACAGGGGTCAAATATCCCACTTATTGCCTCCTTCCCTGTTGCTACAGTAAAACCTAAGACTTTAAATAGATGAATGGATTAGGGATGGACAGGCAGAAAGCCACCTAAACAGCCAGCAAGACAGACAACAAGTGAGCAAGTCAGCCAGACAGCCAGTCAATAAGCCGGTCCATCGGTGCTGTTGGTAGGCAGTGCAGCCTTATGTAGAGCCTGGGGCCACTGGGCTTTCTCCTGGCTTTGATTGGCTGGGTAAGTTAGGGAGTAGTGTTAACCTATATATGACAGGCTACATTACAATCAGCATGGGCAGCCAGGCACATGCTCACACACACACAAAGTAGGCTAAATGCACACACACAAAGAGAAAATGCAGGCTACATTTAGCCACGTGTTTGGCATAGAGCTTATGAGGTGTACTGTCCAAACACAGTGGGACACAAGTGGGGGGGTCCGACACACACGCACACCAAACGGCTACAGTAAGAGGAATCTGAAGAATGAGTACTTATTAGGAGCTATGCTAAGGTTAACAGTTCAGTTCAGGATAATTCTGTGGCTCTGCTTCTGTAATGCCGGATTCAGACATTTCTATCTGGTAAGATGGTCACCGTGTTGCTGGGATTTGGCTGGGAGACAAGACAGATGACACAGTGCCAACCAATCGTAGCTTGTTGTCTTTCATGATGCGCGTGATGTCATGGGGGCTAAGGGCCCACTTCTGGGAACAAGCAATGGCGTCTGAAGTCTGAATTTCTGTCAGAACGTCATGGGGCATCCCAGATTTGGTGTTGGTTGTTGTCCACTATGATACACTACACCAGATAAAATTATCAATTGTTGCTCCTGATGCCCTCGATCTGTCGGGTCAGGCAAATATCGGCCTGCTATTGTGTAGTCTGCACCCAGCATAACATTCACATTACAAACTAAAACAGCCTCACACCAACATGAGTAGCTATCCAACGAGAACACATCACTCTTTGACCTTAATGGCACATGCACAGACTCAAGGGCCAGACTGTGGTGCATACATGGCAAGAGTAATTCAAGAGTAATGAGTAATATAGTTCTGTAAGTCAAATCAGGGGTACTCTGCATACAGACTTAATACAAGTAAGTTCACTTGTTTAAATGTTTCCACGACAGTTGTCTGCCATAATCTTGTTATAATGAAATCTTGTTATACTGGAGAGAATGTTAACACAACACACTGACCGACCCAAAAGCCAACTTGTAAGTACAGTAGGCAAAAACAGGAAAGCTAACCAGAACTTTTACAAATGCAATTACTCTCAAACTAGTGAAAGAATGAAGCAATGACCTTGATATTGTCATTGTTTTGCAATCATGCAACCTCAAGCTCAAAATAACTGCACCTTATTTTCTCACTCCCCACCCTTTTCCCATGGGAACTGTAGAATAAAAACACAACAGTGAGGGTCTGAGCATTGGTATGTGGTTCTCATCACCCTATTTCCTTTTCTTTTCATGGAGTTTGTTTCTTGTTTCTCTCCTGTCTTTGTCTGTTTCCACAGGGCCTCTTCCCATTCCTCTACTCTGTCATTGTATCCATAGGGACTGTAAATAAACTCATTCCTACCAAGCTGAATGTGATTTGATGCATTGCCTTGCAAGCACTGAATTTAATGTTTCAAATAATAGGCAAAACTGCTTGTATTATACTGGCACACAAAATGAATCCAGCATGATGTACAATTCCTTCAGTATGAAAACACAGTCATGCCATACTCACCACTCAGCTGTCCTGAGTTCCTCTTTTTTAACTGAAATGTTGTACCTTGTCACTGATTAACTCTACTGTGCTGTTAATTCATAATGTTAAGCTCCTGTTAATGAAACCCAACACTTCCTGCAGATGTTTCACAGAAAAAGTCTTCCAAGGAACAGA